GAGTCGGGGTCTCACTCTTGCTCAAGCAATTCTCCCTCCTCAGCCTCTCATAGTGCTGGGATTACAGGCGTGAGCCACTGCACCTGGCTCAATGACTTTGAGAGTTGGTAAAACATAAAAGTTGAATCATACAAACCTGCCCACTTGGGCCACTCATTAGAAAACATCCTAAAAAACTAACTATTCTTTAATTACCAACCAGGCTCCCAAGTCTTTTTTTTTTAATTCATTTTATTACAGATTAATTTAGAACCCTGTCAACTTTTTGGGGGGGGCGGGGCTGGGTTTGAACCCACCACCTCCAGCATATGGGGTTGGCGCCCTACTCCTTGAGCCACAGGCACTGCCCACTCCCAAGTCTTTAAAACAAGTTTCTAGGGGAGAAAAAAAAAAAAAGACTTCATAAAATACAACTAGCAAACAAGACCAATGTGAAACTTCCAGGAAAAAAATATCAATCATAAAAAATAAGTATGTCAGATAATAGATATGTTAATTTAGCTTAATTTTGCCATTCCATGATATATAAAATTATATGATTTTTAAAACAATTTTAAAAAATCAATTTCTCAAAGACTTTTAAAAGTCTGAATTTTAATATAAAAATGACAAATCACTTTTGTTCATCTTAAAATGGACATATACAAAAATCCTACTGCTAACATCATACTTAATAGGAAAAGACTGATTTCCTCCAAACATCATAAGGTAAACATCTAGATCATCGATACTATTCAATATTAATAATCTAGTCAGAGCAACAAGAAACAAAAGGTATTCAGATTGCAAAGGAAAAGCAAATTGTCTTGATTCTCACACAACATGATCTGCTATGTAGACAGCCCAGAAATAAACATAGCCAGGGTAAACTGACTTGCCAATGATGACAAGGCAATCCAGGGAGAAAACGAAGTCTTCAGCAAACTATGCTGGGATAATTAGATATCCACAAACAAAAAGATGAATTTACACCTCTACCTTGTACAGTATACAAAAATTAACTCAAAATGAACTATGATATAAATTTAAGGGCAAAAGCTATAAAACTTTCAGAAGGAAACATACAAGGAAGGCAAATCTTCATGCTCTTAGGTTAGGCAATGGTTTCTTAGACATGAAATTAAAAGCATGTGTGGTAAAAGAATAAATTGGGCTTCATCAGCCAAAAGATTTTGTGACTCAAAGGACATTACTGATATGTACAAGTCATCTATCAATTAAGGGCTTGTATCAAGACTATAAAAAAAGTCTTACAATAATAAAGACAAACCCAACTTAAAAATGGGAAAAAGCTCTAAACAGACTTTCCAAAAAAAAATGCATGGCAATAAGCACATGAAAAAATACTCAACATCAACAGTCACTGGAGAAATTAAATGAATAATTACATTAAAATGAACCCTTATACACTGCTGTGAGAAATATAAATTTGTGCAGCCACTTTGGAAAACAACTTGTCAGTGTCTTAAAAGTTAAGTATAGACCTGGCACCTGTAGCTCAGTGGTTAGGGCGCCAGCCACATACACCAGAGCTGGCGGGTTCGAATCCAGCCCAGGCCTGCCAAACAACAATGACAACTACAACCAAAAAACAGCTGGACATTGTTGCGGGTGCCTGTAGTTCCAGCTACTTGGAAGGCTGAAGCAAGAGAATTGCTTAAGCCCTAGAGTTTGAGGTTGCTGTGAGCTATGACGCCATGGCACTCTACCCAGGGCAACATAGTGAGACTTTCTCTCAATTTAAAAAAAAAA